GGGGGTGGGGGGATGGGTTGGGCTGGTGATGGGTATTAAAGAGGGCACGTTCTGCATGGAGCACTGGGTGTTATGCACAATGAATCATGGAACACTACATCAAAAACGAATGATGTAACGTATGGTGATTAACATAACAATAAAGAATTAAAAAAAATAAAATAAAAAACTTTTTATTAACATACTATGTACATATATAAAAATTCACATACTTTTTTTACATACTATATACGTATATGGAAATTCACCCAAGTGTAGGACTCAGTAAATTTTTACAAATTAAAAATACCTACATAGGGGCACCTGGGTGGCTCAGTTGGTTGGGCGACTGCCTTTAGCTCAGGTCATGATCCTGGAGTCCTGGAATCGAGTCCCGCATCGGGCTCCTGGCTTGGCAGGAGTCTGCTTCTCCCTCTGACCCTCTCCCCTCTCATGCTGTTTCTCTCTCTCTCTCAAATAAATAAATAAAATCTCTAAAAAAGTACCTACCTAGGCAGCAATATATTTTGTTCAGTTTTAAAATTCAACCACATTATATTTTATCTTTCTTTATTGTATCACCTTGTGTGCCTTTTATAGGGATAGCTATAGGTATTACATTATTCTACTTACCACAGTCGTGGTAAGTAGTAAATAAGTAAATAAGTCCTTTTAACAGTTTGAGTGAAGGATAGAGGACTTTCTATGATTTATATCTCTTTAACATCCCCATTTAGAATTGTCTTAAATATTTCCTCTGTATACATTGAGAACATTATCAGACAATGTTATTATTTTTGCTTTAACTGTCAAACTCAAGAAAACTCAAGAGGAGACAATATATTGTATCCATTCATATTATTACTCTCTGTTGTTCTTTCTGCTTGCTTGGTGTTCCAAAATTCCTCTTTTATCATTTCATTTATGTTTACAGAACTTTTGTTAGCCATCCTTTTAGAGTTTCTACTGGTGACAAATTCCTGTAGATTTGCTTCACTTAAAAATGTCATCATTTCCCCTTCATCCAGAAGGATATAGAATTTTCTAGGTATATAGAATTTTGAGTTGGCAGCTTTTTTATTTCAGCACTTGAAAATTATGTTGTGCTACTGCTCTGGCCTTCATGATTTCTGATGAGGAATCTATAATTTAGGGGAATTGTTTCTCCTTTATAGATAATGTATTATTTTTCTGTATCTGCTTTCAAGATGTTTTTCTTTTTTTTTAATTTAATTTATTTTTATTATGTTCAAGATGTTTTTGTTATTTTTGGTTTTCAAGGTTTGATGATGTCTCTTGGCAGGACTTATTTGGTTTTAACCTATTTGGAGTTTATTCAGTTTCTTGAATCTGTAGGTTTATATCTTTTTATGTTTATTTTTTATTATGTCTCTTTAAATTGAGATATAATTGACATATAGACATTATATTAGTTTTGAGTATATAACATAATGATTCAATATTGGTATGTTTTTTCTTGTGATGAGAACTTTTAAGATACACTCTTTTAGCAACTTGCAAATATACAATACAGTATTAACTATAGTCACCATGCTGTATATTACATCCCCATCACTAATTCATTTTATAACTGGTAGTTTGTACCTTTTGATCCCCTCCAACCATTTCACCCATCCCCAATCCCCTGTCTCTGGCCACCACCAATCTGTTCTCTAGGAGCTCAGGTTTTCTTTTTAGAGTCCACATATAAGTGAGATCATATGGTATTTGTCTTTCTCTGTCTGACTTATTTCACTTAGCATAATGACCTCAAGGTCTATCCATGTTGTCACAAATGGCAAGATTGCCTTCTTTTTTATGACTGAATAATATTCCATTGTGTATATGTGTATGTATATATGCATATATGCATAAATATATAACACATTTTCTTTATCCATTCATCTGCAGAGATTCTATCCCATAAGAAAATGCATTATGCTAAAGTTTTGAACCTTAGCTCTAACTTGTACAAGTTGTGTGACAGAGTAAGTTATTCAATTTTGTATAACCTTTAGTTTCCTCAAAGTGAGTATAACAACACATAACTTGATGATTATTGTGAAGATTCAAAATAATATAGGTAGAGCTATTTACATCCAATAAGTAATAGGCCAGTGGTATCTGATGAGTCCCAGATACTCACTTGCTTTACTACAGTTTATGAAGGCAGGAACATCTGTTGAGGAACACAGAATCTTTGTCTCTTGGTTATCATAATATTTGCTGATGCTCATCCCAAAGTTATGCATGGGTAACACCATCATTGAATTAAGTAGGAGGCTTTCAGAAGCAGATCCTTTGTCTGTGATTAAAAAGATAACATCAAAAAAAAAAATCAGCATGCTTTATACAAAATGAATTGTCCCAGGAAAACAAAATCTCCCCAATCAAATTAAATGGAGAAAATTACAAAGCCATATTATTATCCTCAAGAAACTCTCATTTCTTGCCACTAAGTATACATTTTGTACCATAGTTTATGTTGATAATTACAGCACTGGAAAATCCTCTGCAAAGTTGATACCCATATAACCTGTCTTCTGTCACCTGATGTGAACAGGAAATGAATGCTGATGATTTCTCCTTCTTCTTATCTTACATGGATGAATAAAGAAACAAAGTTGTGGTAGGAAATTTAGCGTATGACAACAGTGGGAAAGAGATAAATATTTTATCAGTTGAAAGGAGATACATCTTCAGAGAGATACATCTTCAGAGAACCAAGCTTAAAGCTCACTGAGGTTTCTCTAATATTAAATTAATGTGTATAATAGGTGAATATATATGAAGGAGTATAAAACATGATTACAGGTTAAGGTTATGAATGGTCATTGTAGGACTTCAAGACTGAGCTCAGATTATTGGTAATAAATATAAAATGATATGCCTGAACAAAAAACATATTTGTAAGACACTTTGACAAAAGAGAGGTGGCCAACCAAGGATGACAGGGAATGAATGAAGTTCCTAAGATATAAATTTTCTTTTTTTTTTAAAGATTTTATTTATTTATTTGACAGAGAAAGACACAGTGAGAGAAGGAACAGAAGCAGGGGAAGTGGGAGAGGGAGAAGCAGGCTTCCCGCCGAGCAGGGAGCCTGATGCGGGGCTCGATTCCAGGACCCTGGGATCATGACCTGAGCGGAAGGCAGACGCTTAATGACTGAGCCACCCAGGCACCCTTAAGATATAAATTTTCTAAGTGGTAAGGTCATATGAAGCCTGCCCCAAAGAGGGTAAAATTGCTGTATATGCAAATAATCTAGTCTCCAGAAAGAATTCTGAACATTGATTGGCCACCAGAGTAGATGCCAAAAATAACAAGGACCTAATGTTATAAAGTATTTAGGCTCTTTCTCCACAGAATACATAAATATCCTCTTTTCTTTTAAAATTTATTTATTTATTTATTGGACAGAGAAAGAGAGAGAGAACAAGCAGGGGGAGCAGCAGAGGGAGAAGGAGAAATAGGCTCTCTGCTGAGCAGAGAGCCTGATGAGGGGCTTGATTCCAGGACCCTGGGATCATGACCTGAGCCAAAGGCAGATGCTTAACCAACTGAGCCACCCAGGCACCCCCATAAATATCCTCTTACCTCTAAGGAGTAGAGGAAGATCTTTCTCCATAAAGAAAAGTAATATGCTAATATAACTGGTTTTGACTCAGTTTTGTCAGGTAACAAAAATAAAATTCAATTTATGCAATTAATAAAATTTTTTTCAAAATTTTTTTAAAAAGTAATGATTCCTTAGCTGACAAACTGTTGAAGGATACCATATGAATGGGGTGTGGAGGAATATAAAAATTGAGAAAAAATGTTTTGTAAATGCATAGATAATATTTACAAATACTTATCTTCCAGGGGGGCAGAGCAAGATGGCGGAGGAGTGGGACACCTGGATTTTGTCTGGTCTCAGGAATTCAGCTGAATAGGGATTAAACCATTTTGAACACCTACGAACTCAACAGGAGATCGAAGAGAAGAATAGCAACAACTCTCTGAGCAGAAAAGCGATCACTTACTGGAAGGTAGGACGTGCGGAGAAGTGAATCCGAGGCGATATTCGGGAGGATACACGGCGGGGGAGGGGACCTCCGTCGGCCACTTCTGGCAAGTGATAGAACCGTGGAGCACAAAATCGGAACTTTTAGAAGTCGGCTCCGCTGAGGGAGGTCGCTCCAGTGGCTAAGCAGGGGGTGGAACCCTTGCGGGACAGTGTGGTCTCAGGACCCTCGGGGTCACAGAAAGACCGGGGGTGCCTGAGTGCAGCAGAGCTCCCAGGTATCGGAGAAGGGAAGCCTGCGGCAGAGACGGAGCCGAGGCGCGGGCTCTCAGCTCGGGGTTGCCATAAACTGTGATCCGCGGCCCAGCTGGGCCACTGCTCCTCCAGCAGGGACACAACAAGTGGCAGATCCGGGGAGACTCCCCTTCCTCCTCCGGGAGGAGTGGCGCGGGAACACACCAAAGGGATCTGCTGGGTTTGGAGATTCCACACGGGGTCGGGTACCAGAGATAGAAACACTCGGTCACAGGCCGGGTGAGAGCGGATTGCGGCCAGTGACCAGGGACACGAGAGTGACTGCTTTTCTCTGGGGGTGCACTGAGGAGCAGGGCCCCAAGTTCTCAGCTCCTCCGGGCGGAGATTGGGAGGCCACCATTTTCACTCTAATGCTCCAAAGCTGTACCGAGGGCTTGCAAGGAACAAAAGCTCCTGAGAGCAAACCCAAGCAGCTTGCTTAGCCCGGACCCAGCAAGGGCGGGGCAATTCCGCCTCCGGCAAAGACATTTGGGAACCACGGCAA